AAACTCTGGGGGAAAGGACATAAAATATCAACAAGAAATTCTACAATTATTAGAGGCAGTGTGGAAACCTCAGAGGGTGGCAGTCATGCACTGCAGGGGACACCAGCGAGCCTCCACCTCAGTGGCTGTAGGAAACTCTCGAGCTGATACAGAAGCTCGAAAAGCAGGATCTACCCCTTACCCGGCATTGGTAGTAGCCCCCCTACTCTCTCAAACACCTGACCCGGTACCTACCTATTCTGAGGAAGAAAAAGACTTCTTCCACGCAGAAGCGGGGCAAGTAATAAAAGAAGGATGATCAGACTGCCAGATGGGAGGGTAGCTGTGCCGCAGTTGCTGGAAGCCACAATCGTATTGGCCATGCACAAAACCACTCATCTAGGTCAAGAGTCACTTGAAAAATTGTTAGGCTGGTACTTCTACGTCTCACACTTGCCAGCCCTTGCCAAAGCAGTAGCACAACGGTGCATTACTTGCCGACAGCACAATGTGAGGCAAGGCCCCAATGTTCCACCCGGCATACAAGCTTATGGAGCGGCTCCTTTTGAGGATCTTCGGGTGGATTTCACAGAAATGCCGAAATGTGGAGGTAACAAGTATTTGCCGGTTCTTGTGTGTGCTTACTCTGGGTGGGTGGAGGCTTATCCAACATGAAACTGAAAAGGCCTACGAGGTAACCCATGTGCTTCTCTGAGATCTTATTCCTAGGTTTGGACTGCCCTTACGAATCGACTCAGATAATGGGCCGGCGTTTGTGGCTGACTTGGTATAGAAGACAGCAAAGGCATTAGGAATCACTTGGAAGCTACATGCCGCCTACCAACCTCAGAGTTCTGGAAAGGTGGAGCGAATGAATTGGGCTGTCAGAAGTAGTTAGGGAAAGTATGTCAGGAAACAGAAGTAAAGTGGATACAGGCCCTTCCTATGGTATTGTTTAAAATTAGATGCACTCCTTCTAAGAAAACAGGATACTCCCCTTATGAAATACGGTATCATAGGCCGCCTCCTATACTACGGGAGCTTCCAGGCACTCCCCAAGAGTTAGGTGAAATTGAATTACAGCGACAGCTACAGGCTTTAGGAAAAATTACACAAACAATCTCAACTTGGGTAAATGAGAGGTGTCCCATCAACTTATTCTCCCCAGTTCACCCTTTCTCTCCAGGTGATCACGTGTGGATCAAGAACTGGAATGTAGCCCCATTGCGGCCACGGTGGAAAGGACCTCAGACCGTCTTCCTGACCACCCCCACGGCCGTAAAGGTAGAAGGAATCCCAGCCTGGATCCACCACAGCCTGGATCCACCACAGCCATGTGAAACCTGCAGCCGACGAAACCTGGGAGGCAAAACCAAGCTCGGAAAACCCCTGCAAAGTGACTCTGAGGAGGATGACAAGCCCTGCTGCAGTCACACCCGGAAGCTGACTGTTCTCGCATGGCCGAAGCATGAGAATCATCAGGAGACTCATTTTCCTTATAATTTGGACTCATGTAGTAAAAACTTCCACTGATTTTCCCTGCATGGAAGACTGCTCTCAGTGTATACATCAGGTCACCCAGGTAGGGCAACAAGTGAAAACAATCTTTCTGTTCTATAGTTACTATGAATGCCTAGGAACTTTAAAAGGAACATGTTTATATAATGACACTCAGTACATTATATAATGACACAATGTAGCCCAGGAAAGACCGACCAGATGTGTGTTATGACCCCTCTGAGCCTCCCATGTCCACAGTTTTTGAAATAAGATTAAGGACTGAAGACTGGTGAGGACTCATAAATGATACAAGTAAAGTATTAGCCAGAACAGAAGAAAAAGGGGTGCCCAAACGCATAATCTTGAAATTTGATGCCTGTGCCGTCATTAATAGCAGTAAGTTAGGAAGGGGATGTGGCTCTTTTAGTTGGGAAAAAGGCTATATGATGGAAAATAAGTACATTTGTCATGAATTAGAACTGTGTGGAAATGAATGTGGATACTGGTCTTGTGTCATTTGGGCCACTTGGATAAAAAATGAAAAGGATCCAGTCCACCTTCAGAAAGGAAAAAATGGCCCTTCCTGCACTAAGGGACAATGTAACCCCTTAGAGCTAGTAATAACCAATCCCCTTGATCCTTGCTGGAAAAAAGGGGAGCGTGTGGCCTTAGGAATCGATGGGGCCAGACTGGATCCTCGAGTAAATATCTTGGTTTGAGGAGAAGTTTACAAACGCTCTCCTGAGCCAGTGTTTCGAACTTTCTATGATGAACTAAATGTACCAGTACTAGAAATTCCAGGAAAAACAAGAAATTTGTTTTTGCAATTAGCCGAGCATGTAGCCCAGTCTCTCAATGTCGCTTCATGTTATGTATGTGGAGGAACTGTAATGGGAGATCAATGGCCATGGGAAGTCCAAGAAAGAGTGCCTACAGACCCAGTTCCAGATGAATTTCCAGCTCAAAAGAACCACCCTGGTAATTTCTGGGTCCTAAAAGCCCCAATTATTGGACATATTGCATAGCTAGAGAAGGAAAAGAATTCACTCACCCTGTAGGACGACTTAGTTGTCTGGGACAGAAACTGTATAATGGTACCACAAAAACAGTCACTTGGTGGAGTTCAAATCAAACAGAGAGGAATCCATTTAGCGAATTCCCAAAGTTGCAAACCGTGTAGACTCACCCAGAGTCCCACCGGGACCCCCACTGGATTATATTGGATATGTGGGCATAGAGCTTATGCCAGATTACCTGACCAGTGGGCAGGTAGTTGTGTTACTGGCACTATTAAACCATCTTTCTTCTTACTGCCCATAAAAACAGGCAAACTCCTGGGTTTCCTTGTCTTTGCTTCCCGTGAAAAGAGAAGTATAGCTATAGAAAATTGGAAAGATGATGAATGGCCCCCTGAGAGGATCATACAATATTATGGGCCTGCTATTTGGGCACAAGACGGCTTGTGGGGATACCGGACCCCCATTTACATGATCAACCGAATCATGCGGTTACAAGCTGTCTTAGAAATAATCACTAATAAAACCGGCAGAGCCTTGACTATTCGGGGCCAGCAAGAAACTCAGATGAGAAATGGTATCTATCAAAATAAATTGGCTCTCAACTACTTGCTAGCAGCTGAAGGAGGGGTCTGTGGGAAATTTAACCTTACTAATTGCTGTCTACAAATAGATGATCAAGAGCAAGTAGTTGAAGACATAGTTAGAGATACGACAAAACTGGCACATGTGCCCGTGCAAGTGTGTCAGGGATTTGATCCTGGGGCCATGCTTGGAAAATGGTTCTTGGTGTCTGAGGAGTTTTGTCTGCAGCTCGTCCTGCTACGATTTTTGTTTGTTTCCATAGATTTAATTAAACAAACAACATATGGCTAAAAATTAATTTTGGCATGTCTCAAGGTGGACACCTGGAATCAGCTAGCTGACTCATTACTAGAGGAAAAGATAACAATTTCAAAAAGCTAAAAATAATAATTGAATGACCCAACTATCTCAAAGTGAATGCTAAGAAGATACATTTTTTAAGAAAGGAAGTGATGAATATACCTATAGCCAATATTATGGGTGAGCCTGACAAATAGAATACTGAGTAAAAGAAAATATTAAAAGTACATCTTTTAGAGTTTTATTTCTGTAAAGTTCAGAAACAGTTTAAAAGTGTCTATGGCATTAGAAGTTAGGCTTCTCTTGGTGGCATCAATTACTTGAAATGAGCGTTAAGTTAGGCTTTTAAAGTCCTCAAAACATCCTCTACTTTCTTTTTAAGGCAGTTGCTGAATAGCAGAAATATCTGCTCTTTTGAGGATCTCTTAAGCTGTACACCTACAATTTGTCATTTTTGTTTAGGATTATTAAAGTTTATAGGAGGCCATTGTTTTGGACCAGCCTCCTGCACTGGGCTCCAGCAGACCAGACCCAACCAGAATGAAGTCGTTTGTGCTAATGCCATGTAATCAAACTTAACTTTGAAATGAGCCAGTTTTAAAAAAAACCGGGAGATTCCTGTCAACCTCGGTCAGCATAATATGAAGGTTTCCTCTGTTTTAATCCTATAAGGAAAGTAACTTTGAAACCACCAATCTGCTTTTCATTCTCTGTTTCTACTTTCTTCAGCCCTTTTCTGTCTATAAGGTCAACCTTCTCTACTGAGCTCATTGGAACACTCGTTCTATTTTGTAGAATGTGATATTGACAAATTCTAGAATTGCAAATAAAAGCAAATTATATTTTAGACTAAATTGTTGTAATTTTGTCTTTTAATAGGTTTCTCATGAAATGTTCAAAAACTTATGGTACCCGGCTTACCCTTAAGAGCAGTCTTTATTCTTCCAACTGCATTGAACTCACCTTGGTGTTTATTGAAAATACAGCTTCCTGGGTCTACAACAGATATGCTGAATCAGATTCTCTGGGGTGGAGGCTATCCACCCCAATAATTAAGACTTTCCTTGGGCAATTCGGGGGCACACTCAAGTTTGAGAATTCAGTGGTGCCTATTTGGTCGAACTGTTCCACAACACATGTTTGGTCACCTTCAGCAAATACTTAAAGCATGGCCCGTGTAATAGCTTCCTGGGCCACATGGTCCCTCATCTTACCTGTGTTCCTCCCCCTGCACCTTTTAAGAACTGCCATCTATGATGTTAGCAGTTGTCAGACACTACACTCTCATTCACTGCACCAGCCCCGTCACCCAGTAGAGTGTGAGATGTTGACAAACCATCATTTACAAATATTTATAATACCATGTATAAGGTAACTGCCTCCCTCACTAAGAAAAGTGGTAAATTAAATGAAAATTTGATCCCCGTAATATCTTGCCTTGTTCTTTTAAGTAGACACTCAAAGGGGGATGGAGGATAAACCACTGGCTTTAATGAGACAGTTGGGTGAAAAAGAAAAAAAAAAAAATTAAATAGGAAATGGTACCAGGGCTTCTGGTATTTTTATCTTAGCAGCAAGGGGAAGTTTTGATAAGCAGAGGCCGTTTCTTTGTTCTACCAGGATCCAAGCATTGCATCACCATCTCCAGAAGCTGCTGCCTTGTCCGTGCCAGATGATAATTTGGGCATAGGCACAAATCAATACCAGGAATGGGTGTGCTGGGAGCGTGCACTGTAAGTACTGTGAGTATAAATAGAGCTGGAAGAATAACCTTTTTGTGAACTACTGTGTGGTAATCCTCGGGAAGCCAGGAAGCTGGTATGGCTTCAATAGGCCTTTTATAATATTACATGCTACCCCCCAACTGCCCTTCTACACACACAGGGACTGCTTGCTAAAGTTACCATTTTTAATGCAAATCATCCTAATGGCTTGATAATTATTTCAATTGGCATTTGTGAAGCCATTCAGTAAAAGAACAGCCAGGGCAAAACCCTCACTAATCTTCCCATCTTTCATATCCTCTGGGTTTGAGGTGGAATAACACAAGAAAGCCCCAAAGCCAGAGGGTTTTTGAAGTTTATTCTTAATGCACCCAACTCTCCCTGCCCGTTACTCTATGAAGTGTATTCGGCCCAAGTTAAACAAAATAGCAAGAGCATAATATTTGTGGTGGCTTGAAAGGAGAGGAGGCAATGACAAGCGTCCCCTTCCTCCTCAGCTTAGCTTTCAGATTGGTTGGAAAGCATTTTAACACATTGTTGTTATTATTGAGGAAAATAATAATAAACATTTATTGAGTGCTGTGATATGGTGAGTAACTGTTCTAAAAATGTTTGGTCCGAGAGGAGCTTATTAAAAAATATCTATTTAGGTTTTTTGCTTTTCCATAGAGGGTGAGTTTTTAACTCTTTCACTGGCTCTTAGGAGTGCACAATGAATTCGTATGCTACAAAATATGAAGTACTGGTCTCCTGCAAGGCCAGTCCCTGACTCTTCCTCTTAACCTCCAGTCTGTCATGATTAGAGTCTGGCAGGAACTCAGAAATGAGAAGTTCAAGACATTGCCACTTTGTGGAGGGGAAACAAGGCTGGAAAGAATGACTAACTAAAATTTCTGTTTGAAATTGCTTTTCTCTCAAATCAGGCAAAGAGAACTAATACATGTCAACATTACCACAAAATGTTTTTACAAAGGAAAAGCTGGCTGAAGGTTGTCTTTTTTTTTTTTTTTTTTTTTTTGAGATGGATTCCCACTCTGTCATCCAAGCTGGAGTGCAGTGGCACAATCGTGGCTCACTGCAACCTCCACCTCCCAGGCTCAAGCGATTCTCCTGCCTCAGCCTGCCCAGTAGCTGAGATTCCAGGCACGTGTGAGCGTGCCCGGCTAACATTTTGTTATTTTAGTAGACGGGCTTTTACCATGTTGCCCAGGGTGGTTTCAAACTCCTGAGCTCAGGATTTCGCCTGCCTAGGCCTCCCAAAGTGCTAGGATTACAATACATGAAGCCTGCTTGCTAGACTGATGGAACTATGTGTTGTGTTTAGTTCTATGTTCACTCCTTAAACCTAGTGAGCCGTATTTAGAAAGCTGGCTTCTAACCCTTTACATGAGAACAGGTCACTAACCAGCAAGTTCAGTGGGTGGTAGATCAATCAGCTAACTTGGAAACAATAAGTTTAAGTAGTATTTAAGTAGTAGTTTTTTGTCTTCACCTAATAGAAGAGGGGATGCTTGATATTATTATTAAAAATCTTTATTAATACATGTTTTAGTCTCAGAATGGCTCAATAGATTGAGGTGTTTCCAAACTCACTCCACATCAGTCTTCTCTTTCCACTAAAGTGACTTGGTTCAGCAGAAGTGTTTGATTTTTCTTTTTTTTTGAGATGGAGTCTTGCTCTGTCACCCAGGCTGGAGTGCAGTGGCGCGATCTCTGCTCACTGCAAGCTCCGCCTTCTGGGTTCATGCCATTCTCCTGCCTCGGCCTCCCTAGTAGCTGGGACTACAGGTGCCTGCCACTACACCTGGCTAATTTTTTGTATTTTTAGTAGAGACGGGGTTTCACCATGTTAGCCAGGATGGTCTCGATCTCCTGACCTCGTGATCCACCCGCCTCGGCCTCCTAAAGTTCTGGGATTACAAGCGTGAGCCACTGCGCCCGCCCAAGTGTTTGATTTTTATAGCAGTAATCTAGATTTGAATAGATCCTTCCTGACCTAAGATTCATAAACCTCCAAAGGGTCTGTGAATAAAATTCAAACATTTTATGCACATGAATGGAAAAAAAAATCTTTATTTTTACCATACTGTAAATGAAATTTAGCATTTCTTTCGATTGTTAATATAGGCAGCAAACCACACATTAAAAGGACCCCTGATTTTGTCATCTCATAGAATGGTTGTGGTAAATATCTCAGAATATCATTAAGTACATTCAGACTTTGAAATTATGACAATTATTATAATACTTTAAAATATTTATATTTAATTTAGCAATAAATCAGCATATAACATATAAAATACTTTTGAGTATATCATGTTTTAATATCTTGATGACTATATTTCAATGTAATTACTTGTTTGTAATCCTAGGTACTTTATTTTATGCATTTAGAAACATGATTTTGAGTGAGATCCATGGGCTTTACCTGACGGCATGGGTCCATAGCACCACAAATGTTTAAGAACTCTTGGTAGTCTCTAATGTGGCTATTGATACAGAAACTAAATTTATTTCATGGGGCAGCCATACAACTCTGGCCCACAGTAAAGTCAAAGCAAAAAGACCCCAGGCCATGGAGAATCCTAACAAATAACCATAATGGTCAGGAGAAATCTGCATGGACCAATTTAAGTAGTGGTTCTTTTGCTTCCTCAACTTGAGTTGTGCAACTTCAGGACTGGCCCGAATGTTCAGATGACAGGAACACCCAGATACAATGAACAGATGGAGCTAGATGATTCTGGAAAGCAAATAACAGCCAAATGTCTATTGTCACTTTGATGCTTAATTCGGCAACATTTGTTTGGGAACAGAAAACAATATTTGGTAATACTGTTTACATGGTAAAACTGGTCTGCTTCTCACATAAATTCATCTGCCTTTGGATCATTTATTAATTTTAAATAGAACTCCATGCTCAGATGATTTCAGTGGTATATTGGAAGAACCAAGTGTTAGTAAAAAATAAAAATTGTAAAAAAACAACAACAGTTTGGGCAACTATGCCTTTTCCTAAGTAGGTCATCTAGATTGTTGGCCAGCACTGCAATAATTTACTTTGGTCTTAATGGAACCTTAAAAAATTCTGTACTGGAACCATTTGTGGGTTCCCTGAGAGTATGATTTTGTCCATAATATAAGCCCATAATTATAATATATCATATATCACAATAGTGTGAATTATTGTTGACAACATCAAATGTCAGGAGAGATCTGGCAGAAAATAGAACTGAATTTGAGCAGAGTAAGACTGTTAGTATAGAAGGATTAAAGTTATACTAAGATATATAGCTTGTTAGTAGTTAGTTCTAGATGAGAACATGTGCATGCATTACTTGCACCCTCCATGGAGTTGCTATGTTAGGAATGCAAACCTGCTGTTGCCAAATCTGCCAACATATCTGGAAAAGCTAAAAATGAGATGACAATTTAGTGTTAAGCCACCTAGTGTTTAGAGGAATTGACTAGTGCAATTCTTTTCAAACATTCTTTGAGATAAGCAAGGGTTTCTAAAGATTGAATCTTACTCCTGGGTCATGAACTCTTCTATGCAGATACTACTCACTCATACAGTGAACCATCAATGAAAATGAGAAATGGGATTTGTTTTCAACACCTCCTACCGATCTATAGAGGTAGAGGGAAAGTGTCCTCACTGCTTACTGATGGTTCACTGAAAATGAGCTGATAAAAGGTGGATTAATAGGAGAAAACCATTTACAAAATTTATTAATATGCATGAGGGGAAAAAAATCACATGAGTATGATTACCCAATAACCCAGTGAGGTCCAGATGCTTATATATCCTACTTAATAAGAGAAGAGGAGATGGAGGGTGAAATGATTTTAAGGGTAGATTAATGAGACTAAAATAAATGGGCTGGAACGAAGTTCTTCAGTGCTCCGACAGAGGTGATGGGAAGATGAAGGGCAGAACTTCATTGTGAACAAAAGTTGTCTTATTATACAGATAATGCCTCATGGCTAATCTCTGGAACTGTCCTCAGAAGAATAGATGAAAACTCTGTCTGGGTTTCAGATACTATGAAACTGAGTCAAAGGTTTAATTCATCTTTATAATCCCTGGATTTTTGCTAAAGGATCTCTCTCTCTCTCTCTCCCCCCTCCCCACTCCCCCTTCTTAAATAAAATCTCTCGTCTTATGATATCCTCATGGAAATATAATTGGGCTGTATTAAAGAGAGATGGGAGAAAAAAGAGAATGCAGGCATTGTAGAATTTTTACTTGCCCTCATCTTATCTTTATCAAGTTAATTCACTCAGAACTCATTATTTTAAAAGCCCGCATGTCCCATTATGGTGAATAAATACAGACTTATTTTTCCACAAGACTATGTATAGTAACTAAAATAAAACATGTATGTGTATTTGTTATCAACAGGGTCTTAACTCCAGCTGTCATTCCCTCATGATCATGCCAGCCTTCCGTCTGCCTTTCCCAAGTCATACAACCAAACTCTTCCTCAATTCCTTACCCCTCCTCATTCAACAGTTTTCTTTCTTTCAACTGTTTTTCTTGACTCATATCCTTATTTTCACCAGAATCATACACCTGCTCAAATTCAGAAGGCTCTTCTCTTTCACAACCAGCTGTGTTCTCTGACTAATATGTGAAAAAACCTTTGCCTAGGAAATGGTTCATACCTGACTCAATTTCATTCTTAATTATATTTTCAGCTTGCCTTTCATGAAGATGCATTTCTTTCCAATATGGATGTGTCCAAGTAGTTTATCTATATATGAAAGTGATTGATATGTAGGCTGGGTAATCTCTCTTTGTCCTTCCAGATTCACCCCCACCTTGTAAGCCCTACTCTGTGCCACAGGAGGCTGACCTAAGTGGGCAGCATAAACCAGGCTCCTTTGCCCTGTATCTCAGTTGTATTTGAGCAATGGAAGCCACAGGTAAGAAACCCTCAATTGTTGGGGAGAGAGAGCACAGGTTGATGGTGGTCATTTCCTTATCAAGGGCCTCAAGTGTGTGCCTTCATGTCTAAGGTTCTCAAGGCTTCCCTGCTATTTCAACCTGTCAGGTGTTTCATCTTCCCTATGATTTCCCTTGTCCACATTTTTATATCTTTGAATTGTTCATTTATTAAATCCCATTTGCTTTTCCCTATTTGAGTTTCTGCCAGGACCCTGGTGACACAGTAAGGAAACATTCTTAGTGCATGGTTGATATATGGTGTAAATAAGAGATCTAGATCTAGATTGAAACCCTAATTCCATTTCTTTTCTTGTTAAACAAGATTTTTTTGTTGTAGAGTGGGGATAAAAATCCTTATCTCAAAGAATCATGAGAATTAAAGAGAAAAAAACGACGATGGTGGTGGTAAGTACATTGTTTACTCTATAAAATCTTATGTTTGTTACTTTTCTTCAACCAGAATCTTAGTGCTTCACAATTCTGTGGATATTATTTACTCCAAAACCTGAGCCTAAAAGTGCTTAAATAATTTTTCTGCTATAGCAAAACACCCATTTTCTTAATTCTATAGTATGCTTTATAGAAATGTCTGTAATATAAAATAATAAAATGCCTAACTAATGTTTGTGTGTGAATGTATACAAAATGATTCTTTGCCTTAAATGGGTTCATACAATATGGAAATGGAAAAAATGCTAAAAATACACCAATAACATCAATATTTCCTTAATATTAGGTAAATGTAAGATTCTATTTATATATATGTGGGGGGGTGTTTTCATATGAGCTCACTTTTTATCATTGTTTAAATAGATCATGTGATGGTCATAGTTTTAAAGAAATCCCTGTGTTAATCATAATCAGTATGTAGGGCTGTGACTGATGGCTAGTTTCAAATTTTCATCAGTCAGTGGGTAAAAAAGCATCTCCTCACCCTTAGTCAAAAATTAGTGATGCTGTTTCTTTACAGGAGTGGTTATTGGGAAAATTGAGAGTAGAGTGGAAATGCTTTTATCTCAACTATTACTCAAGAATTATTGCAACTATGAGTCAGCATAGGTGGGCGATGTTTAACTCTTCAAATTCTATTTATTACTCACACCAAGACTGCAACAACTCAATCAGTATCTGCCTTCCACTGCTGCCTTCTTAGCACATAGTTCCTATGTGGATCACAGCCTCATGGAAGAAATATGTGAAGAAATAATACAGGATGAGGTGTATATTTTGTATATTTTGACCTGGAAAAGAGACATGGCACTTCTGTTCACAGGTTATTGGCAAAACTAGTGACATGACCCCACAGAAAAGCAAGTAGGCTATGAAATGTGAAGAAGCTCATGGACTTTTCTGGGAAAATTGAGCAGTTAATATTACTTTCATACCCAATGTTATTTTAATGTTTCTCACTTAATTTCACTGGGTATCATAAGACAGATAACTCTGTCTGTGTGAATCATCACATTCTATATTAAAACCAAATGTTATGCAACAACTTCAGCAAATTAGAAGGTGAGTCTGAGAAACGATTGGGGGGCACACTATGCTTCTTTCTCAGTGCAGACTTTTTTACCCTTCACTAGCTGGGATCTCCATTTTATATCATTATTTCTTAAAAGGATACCTCTTTAAACATGGCAATTTATATAGGCAAGGTTCCTTGGTGATTGCAATTGTTCTTATCATAGGATAACATACAGAATATAGGAATTCATTAATAATAAGGGAACTTGGAAAATCTTGCCCATTTTCTTAAATCAAGATAAGGCATATTTAAATGATGTCAGACAGAAAATAATATTTCAATAGAGATTTTCAGAGAGGAGATTATATGCTTTCCCATAATAATCACCCTGAAAGTGAACAAGTTGAAGATCAGACAATATCTCAGAGCACTTTATAATGTTGTCCTTTGGTTTTGATCTCAGGATAAGTGAACCACAGTCGCTCTCTAATCTTGTCTAAGATATCTTTTTCCTTTTGGTTTTATTTTATTTAGTCTTAGGTAGTATGCTTCTCGGCTGCCCTCAGTTTTTTCTTCTCCGTGATGAATAGTCCTGTTTCTTTGAATGTTTCCTTGTAGATTTAAATCACCAGGTCTTACTCATCTCTGTGGCTATTTTTTCTAAACTTCCCAACTCTTCTATTTTGCTATTTCATGGTATAACCTAGATTTTGGATAATGCAGCAAGAATAAATGAAGTGTTATTATTTTCCACTACAAGTACATTAAAATGGCCACGATTATGGCATCCTTTACAGATATTTTCACACCACAATATATAAAGGTCTGCAGTATTCACTTGAGAAGTTAATTATCTACAACTGGATTTTACATTGAATGTATTGCTATTTACTTTTTTGCTTGTTTTTGCTTTCCAGCCCTCTTGAGACCTGTCGGCTGTCTGACCTTGAGAAAGTGGGTGGACTATTTCTGGCTGAGAGTGGAAAGAGAAATCACATGGGAAAGGAAATCCTCACACGCGTGTCAGCTGAAATTTGGATGGTGATGAAATTCAGATGATTTAGGTAAGCTCTGGATGAACAGATAACATTTTGGAGGATCATCTGAACTAATTATGAATTCCCAAGAGTGCATGATTCATCTATTATTGGGTATCCAGGAGGCTAATTCCTCTATCCACCATAATTTCCTAGGATATCTTATTGCATCACACTCAAACAGTTGCAGATTTGAACGTGGACTTCAAAGTTCCTTCAAGCAATACAGTATGGTAGGAGCAAAACACGCTGTGGAAAGCCGTTCAGTGGATTGTATCCGATTTCAAAGTCATCTTTTCAACTGTTGTATTGCCTATATCAGAGTTTGTTATTTTTCTGGTCCCTAGCTGAGAGTTGAGCTCATTCTGTGGGAAGTATCTCTAAACCACTGACTGACTTTGAAGCCAGTACAACTAAGGGAGATTAGAAACTTGGCATAGCCTTCTTCTCAAAGCATTTAGAGCATCTTCCTCAAGTTTGTTTGTTTGTTTGTTTGTTTATTTGTTTTTGAGACAGTGGCTGGCTCTGTCACCCAGGCCAGAGTGCAGGGCGTGATCTCGGCTCACTGCAACCTCCTCCTCCTGGGCTCAAGTGATTCTCCCACCTCAGCTTCCCGAGTAGTTGAAAGTACAGGCATTCACCCAGCTAATTTCGGTATTTTTGTAGAGATGGGGTTTCTGCATGTTGTCCAGACTGGTCTTGACCTCCTGGACTCAAGTGATCTGCCCGTCTCTGCCTTCCAAAGTTCTGGGCTTACAGGTGTGAGCCACTGTGCCAGGCCTGAGTTTTTTGATCTGTATAATTTAGTGTAATTCAGAAGCAAAGATGAGATTTCAGAGATTTGTAACTAGGCAGAACTCATACCAGTTTGGCTTCTGGAAGTGTCGGAGATGCTCAGGTGGACATATGAGAGAACATGGAAAAGAATCCAAGCCCTTGGCTTATCTAGTTTTATTTAAGTGACTTTAAACAAGGTTTTGCCTTCCTTTTTCTGTTTCTTTATTTGTAAATGCATTATAAGGATATCTTTCTTGTTTCTTTTACATCATATTTTGAGGCACACATGATATCAGAGGTTATTCCTTAGTTTTCTTATAATGAATCCCATGGGCAGCCTGTACGGAGTCTATGAAATGTTTCTCAGAGTAGGATTTTTAAAATATCAATACACATACACATATATATGCATACATAGATAGCTTTAAAAAAACCAAGCTTTTACACAGATAGTTATCTAAATGTAAAAAGATAAATTTGTAATAAAGAAATACATGTGTTATTATATCAGTGCATTGTATAATAAGGATCTAGTGATGCATCTACTATCACTATTTTATTTTATTTTATTGTTTAATTTTAATTTTAGATTGAGGGAGTACATATGCAGGTTTCTTACAGTTTGTTACAAGAGTCTACTGTGTCATGCTAAGATTGGGCTTCTATTGATCATGTCACCCAGATAGTGAACATAGTACCCAATAGGAAGCTTTTCATCCCTTTATCACCACTCTTCCTTCCCTCTCTTCCAGTTCCCAGTGTCTACTGTTCACAGCTTTATGCTTATGTTACCCGAGATTTAGCCACTACTTATAAGTAAGAACATGTGATATTTGGTTTTCTGTTCTGTCTTAATTCACTTAGGATAATGGCCTCTAGCTGCATGCATGTCGCTACGAAGGAAATGATTTTGTTATTTTTTGTGGCTGTATAGTATTCCATGGTATATGTATACCACATTTTCTTTATCCAGTCCAGTGGGTTGTTGGATACCTAGACTTATTCTATCTTTTTGGTGGAATAATTTATTTTCCTTTGGGTATATATCCAGTAATGGGGTTGATGGGACTGAATGGTAATCCTATTTTTAGTTCTTTGAGAAATTTTCATACTACTTTCTGCAGTGACTGGACCAATTTGTATTCCCATGAACAGTGTATAAATGTTCCCTTTTCACCATAGTCTTCCCAACATATTACTTTTTGACATTTTATAATCCATTCTGACTAGTGTGAGATGGTATCTCCTTGTGGTTTTGACTTATGTTTCTCTGATGATTAGTTATGCGGAACATTTTTTAACATGTTTCTTGGCTGTTTTATGTCTTCTTTTGAGAAGTGTGTGTTTATGACCTTTGACCACTTTTTAATTTTTTTCCTTGTGGATTTGTTTATGTTTCTTTTAAGTTCTGAATATTAATGCTTTGTCAGATGCATAGTTTGCAAATATTTTCTCCCATTCTGTATGTTGTGTGTTTACTCTGTTGATAGTTTCTTTTGCCATTTAGAAGCTCTTTAGTTTAATTAGGTCCCATTTGTCAATTTTTTGTTTTTGTTGCAATTGCTTTCAGGGACTTATTTACAAATTCTTCACCTAGGTTGCTGTCCAGAAGGTATTTCCTAGGCTTTCTTCTAGGATTTTGATAGTTTGAGGTTTTACATTTAAATATTTGATCCCTCTTAAGTTTTGTATACAGTGATAAGCAGGGGTCCAGTTTCATTCTTCTGTGTATAGTTAGCCAGGTTTTCTAGCACCAACTATTGAATAGGCAGTCCTCTCTCCACTGCTTATTTTTGTGAACTTTGTTGAAGATCAGTAGGTTGTAGGTGTCTGGCTTTATTTCTAGGTTCTCTATTCTGTTTGTTAATCTATGTCTGTTGTGTTTTTTTTAACCAGTACCATGCTGTTTTGGTTACTGTAGCTTTATAGTATAGTTTGAAGTCAAGTAATGTGGTGCCTGCCTTCAGCTTTGTTCTTTTTGCTTAGGATTGCTTTAGCCATCTGTGCTCTTTTTGGTTCCCTACATATTTTAGAATATCTTTTTTTTCTAATTCTGTCAAAAATGACATTGGTAATTTGATAAGAACAGTGTTGAATCTGTAGATTGCCTTGGGCAGTGTGAACATTTTAACAATATTGATTCTTCCAATCCATAAGCGTGGAATGTATTACCATTTGTTTCTGTTGTCTATGATTTGTTTCAGAAGTGTTTTGTAGTTCTTCTTGCAGAGATCTTTCACTTCCTTGGTTAGATATACTCCTATGTGTTTTATTTTTTTGTGTGTGGCTATTCTAAATGGGATTGCATTTTTATTGCCCTCAGCTTAAGTGTTATTGATGCATAGAAATGCTACTGATTTTTATTTATTTATTTTTATTCTTCCCCTTAAGCATTTATTATTTGTATTACAAGCAATTCAATTATATTCTTTTTTTTTTTTATACTTTAAGTTCTAGGGTACATGTGCATAACGTGCAGGTTTGTTACATATGTATACTTGTGCCATGTTGGTGTGCTGCAGCCCAAAATCTCCTTAAGCTGATAAGCAACTTCAGCAAAGTCTCAGGATACAAAATTAATGTGCAAAAATCACAAGCATTCTTATACACCAGTAACAGACAAACAGAGAGCCAAATCATGAATGAACTTCCATTCACAATCGCTTCAAAGAGAATAAAGTATCTAGGAATCCAACTTACAAGGGATGTAAATGACCTCTTCAAGGAGAACTACAAACCACTGCTCAGTGAAATAAAAGAGGACACAAACAAATGGAAGAACATAGCATGCTCATGGATAGGAAGAATCAATATTGTGAAAATGGCCATACTGCCCAAGGTTATTTATAGATTCAATGCCATCCCCATCAAGCTACCAATGAGTTTCTTCACAGAATTGGAAAAAACTGCTTTAAAGTTCATATGGAACCAAAAAAGAGCCCACATCTCCAAGAGAATCCTAAGTCAAAAGAACAAAGCTGGAGGCATCATGCTACCTGACTTCAAACTATACTACAAGGCTACAGTAACCAAAACAGCATGGTACTGGTACCAAAACAGAGATATAGACCAATGGAACAGAACCGAGTCCTCAGAAATACCACACATCTACAGCCATCTGATCTTTGACAAACCTGAGAGAAACAAGAAATGGGGAAAGGATTCCCTATTTAATAAATGGTGCTGGGAAAATTGGCTAGCCATAAGTAGAAAGCTGAAACTGGATCCTTTCCTTACTCCTTATACGAAAATTAATTCAAGATGGATTAGAGACTTAAATGTTAGACCTAATACCATAAAAATCCTAGAGGAAAACCTAGGTAGTACCATTCAGGACATAGGCATGGGCAAAGTCTTCATGTCTAAAACGCTACTGATTTTTATAAGCTGTTTTGGTGTCTTGAAACTTTACCGAAGTCATTTATCAGGTCTGGGATCCTTGTGGCAGAGTCTTTAGCATTTTCTATCTATAGAATTATATCATCAGAGAAGAAAGATAATTTGACTTCCTGTTTTCCTATTTATATGCCTTTTCTTTCTTTTGCCTGGCTGCTTTGGCTAGAACTTTGTTTTCTTTCTTTCTTTTTTTTCTTTTTTTTTAAGACAGGGTCTGGTTCTGTTACTCAGGCTGAAGATCTTGGCTCACTGCAACCTCTTCTTCCTGGGGTCAAGTGATCCTCCTGCCTCAACTGATCCCCCCATCCCAAGTAGCTGGAACCACAAGTGTGTGCCACTATGACCAGCTAATTTTTATGTATTGTTTGTAGAGAAATACGTAAAACATAGTGGGGTTTCACCTTATTTCTCAAGCTGGTCTTGAGCTCCTGGACTCAAACAGTCTGCCTGCCTCGGCCTACCAGAGTGCTGGGATTATAGGCGTGAGCCACCACACCCAGCCGGACTTCCAGTACTGTGTTGAATAGGAGTGGTGAGAGTGGACATCCTTGTCTTGTTTTTCTTAGGATAATGCTTCCAACTTTTTCATGTTCAGTAAGATGTTGGCTGTGAGTCTGTCATAGATGGCTTTTATTATTTTGTGATATGTTCCTTTGATCCCTAGTTTATTGAAGGGTTTTATCATGAAGGGATGTTGGGATTTATTGGAAACTTTCTCTGCACCTATTAAAATGATCACATAATTTTTGTTTTTAATTCTTTTTATGTGGTGAAATACATTTATTGATCAGCAATGTACTACAATAATTTTAAAACAGTGATTAGTACAAAGGAAATTAAGAGACATCTTCAAT